TTCTACTTATGCTAATGCAAATTTCTATGAGTATAGTGTTTTAAATGTTAGTAGCAGGTAGTAGCTGTAATACAGTATGTTGCAGCCTTTCATAGCATTTGCTATCTGGACAGGCAATCATTTGCATCCTTTAAAAATTTATTTACAGCTTCAGCTAATTACTTCTTAGGATGTAAAGCCTATCACATTCACACAATTCATTAAAGCACAATCAGTCTGAATAGAATAATTTTTCAACTTTTTGGTGTCACTTTTATAGACAAATAACACTTGTAAATAATGGATAATGGGCATCAGAGTACGGTGTGGTATAAAACGAGCATGAATAATGTTTAATGGGAGATAGAAGATTAATTCGTCTATGACCTAATTGACTGCTTTGTAATAAAAGCAAAATGGTCCATGTCCATTATAAATAATACCGAAAGAAGATACTTCCTAATTCCTCCTTAACTATCTTTTTTTTCTCACTTCTTGGTTCAAATAGGAAAAGAGGCCCTAATGATAATCTTGCTATAGAAATTTAGGGATTGCAACAGAGCAAATGGTAATTAATAATGTCATACACTAATAGAATAAATCTCTGGCTTATCTAGAGGTACAGTATGTAGAAACATGCTGACTTCGGGATACACACCCACATCTTCTCTCTCTTTCTCTTTCTCTCTCTCTCTCTCTCTCTCTCTCTCTCTCTCTCTCTCACACACACACACACACACACACACACACACACACACACACAAATAGACACATGTGTTGTCCATCCAATGATTTCAAGGATTAGATCTGATTTTCTTTACATGTATGCTGGTATCTGAAACAATTTTATTTTCATTTATTTTCTAAACTTGGTGTAATCACCAAGATCTTAACACACTGACCAAAAAAGGCAAAATAAAATCTAGTTGCTTACAAAAAAATAACAACCTAGTTGGTCACAATGTCTGTATATTTTGCAATTATCTAAATCAGTAAAAATGAAATAAAACAAAAAACATCAATAAAAACAATCCAATTTCAGAAAATTAACTTGAGAAACAATATGGAGGTGATGGTGGAAAAAGTGAGTACCGGTATTTATTTAATGGAAGAGAACAAATATGAAAAAGAAAAGAAAAAGAAAGCAACAGTTTATCGGTATATATGTTTTTATAGCTGTTTCAATGTATGAAACTTTATCCCTTTCATTGTTACAGGAAGTGTCAGCTTTCCTGGGTAAATTAGACAGAAAACATGACTAAATGAGCTAATTCTATTAATTATAAGACTACATTAATATAATCTTGTAAGTCTGAGGGTAAATCTTTCCTGCTATTACTTTTAATCATCTGATTAATTAGGGTGGGTCTTTCTTAGTTTCTTCCTCTGACTGGTAAGCTATTGGGGTCTTTTTATCTGATTGTTTTCTAGGCAGTATCTCTTTCTCTAGTCCCCCAGGGTCATCCACATAATCCATTATAGGGAGTTTTCACTTAATGACCCTTTTTGTGACTGGCAACTCCCTTACTAAGCAAAGTGGTCATTAAGCAAAACATCACCACTGTCCCACTTAGCAACAGCAGTCCCTGTTATTAAGTGAATCACCTGTAGTCATTAAGTAATGTAAGGTTTTCCACTTAGCCTCACAATTTCCCCAGTGTTACTCAGGAATTTAAAAGAGCCAAAGAAACTCCTGAGCCGAGGTTTCAACAAAGATTACAACTTTATTTTGATCAAAACAGAGAGGGGCCGCCTGATTCCTCTTCGTGGCTGGTAGAGGAATGAAGGCAACAACCAGAAAAGATGTCTTCCACCTTTTATACCTTTCCAGAACAAAAATATCAGGTCTTGGTACCAGGCATAAGATGGCACAAAAAAATAATTCCTAGATGATGACTCATACACAGCAACCCAGGCTCCATCCGTAACTCCTTTTTCCCCTCCCCATACTGTGCTCTTTTCATATAAGCAATCACCTGTACCTAAAGCATGAAGCCTTACTTTTCCAATATATATATAAAGCATCTGATCAAGCAATTAACTACAAAATAATGATTACAAAATAACAAAACAATGATTACATGATAACACTATAAATATCAATATAAAATGGTTACTATATATAAAATAAATGCTAATGTCAAACTTAAACATACTAAAATCATAAGCACAATAAAATCCCTTCAGTAAGACATCACATGACCATGATTTTTGATCTCCTATTGACATTGCTTGTCAGAAGCCAGCTGGGAAAGTTGTAAATGGTGATCATGTGATTGCAGGATGATGAAAGTATTGTAAATAGATGGTGATTGCCAAGCACCAAATTGCAATCACATGACTGCATTGACCGCATGTGACAGTCATAAATGTAAGGGCCAGTCATCATTTTTTTCAATGCTATCATAACTTTGAACAGGCTCTAAATAAATGGTTATAATTAGTACATAATCTGTGACTGTAACCAAGTTGTTCCTAAGTCTCAGGCAATATTAGGTCTTCAGTCTATTGAGTAATTAGGTCAATAAATTTAAAGGTATTTTGAAAAGTTTGATACAGATGTTAAGATAGTTTGCCATTGTTTAGACAAATTCTCCAATTACTAGTTACAAAAAGTCTTTCAGAACTTCCATATGAATTGATTTCTCAACAGTTATTATTGTATTATAATTATGAGCTTTGTCTCATAGAATTTAGGTATTTCTGAAACTGAAACGCCATTGGTTCAAATCAAAATGTCAATTAAAAAAATTAATTGTAAATACTGTAAGGGGATAGCAATAGACAAGTGGTATTTATCTTTTTGCACAGAAAATGCTAAAAGTTTATCATTGTCATCCAGTAGGTCATCTAAATAAAAAAATACCAGCATCCATACAAATCTTTCAGTTGACAACTTTAGGGTCTGAATTACCCCATAGCATCAACTGGGCATAAGAAAAAGGACCACAATGCAATTTTCTAGAAATAGTACAGGACAATTTTCAAACTGATATTTATGGTAGTAAGAAATATATCTGATTTACTCTATTTTCAACCCCAATCTAAAGTATATTCCAAGAAACCAGAAGGAGAATTTATAATAAGTGAATTTGCCCAAACTTTGAACTAATCTAAATAAAATCCATGTGAAATTTGGGAAACTGGACTCCCCCATTTTTAACTGACACTTTCATGTTTTGGAGAAATTCCATAGAAATTTTCAAAACAATGCATGAATTTTTCAAAATGTTTTCCAGGTATTATGGAAATATAATGCATTCTGCAAATTATTTCCTTTGTAATACGCAAAACATTGTATATTTTTCTGGTCAAGAGATTTAAAATATTTTTAAACACACTTGTACACATACAATATATTAGATTCAGCCAATTATTTTTTTCCATCCAATTAGTCCAGAATGAGTATACTTGAGTAGTTAGCATAATATGAAACTTGGCAATTGGAGATAGTATTTTTTGAGGGGGGTGGCTATCCTCACAGGGCTGAATTATTATTAAATATTCTCAAGAGAAACAAAGTAATAAGCACAACATGGTAAAAAAGGATTCAATACCTGACTGTAAGAGAATACTGTCTTTTTTAGAGGAAAAATGCTGCTTTGCACTGGATCTGTCCAATAATTTGAACTTTATTTTTTTTAAAGACAAGTTAACTTGATATTTGTTTGGAAATAAACATGATCATCCAAAATGCAAGATATTGGTTTTTATATATTTAATGGACATCCTAGGACAAGTACCCAAAATTATATAGATCTGCAATGTTAAAAACAAGTGATTTGGTGAGCATCCAAGACAGCATCAGCACCACCATTTCACCAAGAACAATGGAATAAGCCAGTGATGGCGAACCTTTTAGAGACTGAGTGCTTAAACTGCAACCCAAAACCCACTTACGCATCGTCAAGTGCCAGGTGGGTGTGGCCATTGGGTGGGCGTGGCTGCAGTGGTAACGGCAGACTGGGTGGGACTAAAAAGTTCAATCAATCAATTCCAACTTTGCAAGATCTTTTTTTCTCCGTGAGAAGTTGAAATTGACTGAACCTTTTTTTTTTTTTTTGCACACGGTGGCGGAGGCCTAAAGCGAAAAGTTTTATAAAACCCAGCTGAAGGCCTAGGACTGGGGCAATGGCACGCGTGCCCACAGAGAGGGCTCTGAGTGCCGCCTCTGGCACCCGTGCCATAGGTTCGCCACCACTGGAATAAGCCAATTTGGATAAAGAAAACCTGGTTACTGTCTTAAAAACTCCTGGATTCTGATTACTTTAAATGCCAAGTTTATTCCTTGTTGTTGAACTATTGTTTCTAAAAGGAACCCTGAGTTTCTTTGACTCTTAAGATGCCGATTGTTAAGCAGCTTATCTGCTTTTCAATGCAGCCCTTTAAAGTTATGGCCTCTGTGTCTCAAAAACTTAGCTTTGTTGTTTCTTGCATCTCCTGGAACAATGAGGCAGGAAAATCTATTCCAGTAAATCCTTTTGTTGTGGTTTAGTATAAACCATTGAATATTCTATGGGAGATAAAGAATTAGGCAACAGTTACTTTTCTACAATAGAATTCATATTCCCTTTCAAAGACAAAAATATATGGGTGGTCAATTTTTATTCTGCTAATTGGGTCTAGCTCTCTTCAACCCTTGTTCATAGGCAGTTTTGATTCTAGCTCCAAAATTGACTTTTCAGTTAAAATTCTTCTTTATCAGTTCATTATTCTCCAGTGTGTTTCTCCTTCTTCCTTTGAACTTGGCATGTCTTTTATTTTGAGAGTTATTGCCTTATTAATCATTTCAGAATGCAGCAGCTGTTTTAATATGCCATGATAGTTGAAGCTTCAAGATAAAATATAGGCTTTTAATGGTTCTGCAAATATTATTCTAGTGCATTTGCATCTATTTTACTGCTACTTTCAAATATGTAATCATTTGTTCCTATGTTCCATGTTATAGACATCAAATAAATAGATAGAACTGATTAGATAGTCACTGTCAAACTGTCTGAATGACTTAGTCCAGTTAAAAGGGGGCAAATTTTGTTGTCTTCATTACCGTTGAACTACAACTGACTCCTTCACTTCCACCTCAAAATTGTTTCAGGGCCATAAAGGATATCTTACTTTTTCCTAATAATGATAACAGGTGATACTCACTGACTTAATAAAATTAGCAATTTTATTTCTTGGACTCCTGTTATACTTGAAAGTGGTGCACATTCCAGAAAAAAAATGTTACGAATTATAAGGTATTTAAGAAAATTCTGTGTTTGGACTAACTACATTAGATGATTGGTGTCTGGATAATGTGTGATTTTAGACTCTTTCTTCAACAGTGGCAGTTTATTCACTACCTGCAGCCCTTCCTGTTTTTGCTTACCTATTGAAACTACTGAACTGGAACTGGATATGGATTCTGTTTGTATAAGAAGAAAAGAACAGGATTTTTTTGTCTACATTCCAGACTGAATCCATTGGTTTTTAATGTTTAACATAATCAAGCAAGTAACAAAAATTGAGTGTTCCTATACACTTTTTATTGTCTGACTCAAAAGGGCTACAACATTATACTTAAATGTAAGCCTTAAGGGAGATAATGAATGCAGTAAGAAGAATCCACACAGATTTATAAAATTTAGGATTTTTTTAAAAAATATTTGAAATATGAAAGCAGTATACATATATACATATATATATATATGTATTTCATATTTCAGTATGGGACAAATCAATAATGTTCTTCTATCTGCAGGGTATAAAGCATGGTCATTTATGTTCAGATAATTTGCATTTTTAAAAACTATAAATTCAAAGTAGAAGATCAGAAAATGTGTTAGAACTTATGAAAGGTGAATATGTAGTATAGCAAGTATTATTGAAATAGGAAAATAAGCTGATAAATGAATTTCAGGGAGCAGAAATGCAAAATAATGTTGAAGGCAAAAACAGTTGAACAATCAGTTGAACAACCTCAGTTGGTAGGACTTACATGATATAACAAATCTGATTGATCAATCGATTGATTAATTGAAGGAATAGATGAATATTCAGACAGCTCCTGATAGAATGACTTAGAAAGGAAAAAGCGTTAAAATATTAAAAATAAAAGACATTATAAAGGAAGAATTGAGTATATTTCAACTGCTCAGAAACTAAACATCCCACCCCAAAGAAACACTGACACTGGTTTAAAACTTTGAAAAGAAGAATTAAAAATAACAAACATTTCCTGTCTTTCATAGACTCAAATACTGTCACAACATCCATAAACTAGGTAAAAGAGCTGATCTGATGCACAAATTCCTCCATTTTTGAATGTCCATTGGGCATACCCCAAAGGAGCTAAGCTAATGGTACAATACTACTTACATCATTTTGACAAAAGCAAAACATTCTTGTACATGGCTCTGGTATTTATTTTGTTTGAGAGATTAGGAAAACATTTTTACAGGAGCCAAGCAGTAAAAAAACCCCACTAACTTCCTCAATCAAGCAAATTAACAATTAAAAATTAAGAATGGGTGATAAATTACCTTATGTTGGGAGTCAACTAATTTCTGACTTACTGCACCACATTGTAGTAACATTCTTTGGCCTTCCCTCCTCCTTTTTCTCCATGTATATCAGGGTGTCAAACTCGATCGTGTCACATGATGTATCATGATGTATCATGACATTTTTTGCCTTTGTGGAGCCATGGTGGATGTGGCCTGCGCGTGACACATCTGGCTCGTGGGCTGCCAGTTTGACACCCCTGATGTAGATGATATATTGGAGAAATAGTTTTCTCATGTTTTAAGGAACAACAAGTAAAAATTCTTCTTAATGGCTAGTAATTGTCAAAACAGAAAATCCTTGTTGTACAACCAATTGCTTAGCAATCATCTGAAGTTATAATGGACCTCCCTGAAGGAACTTATGACCTGGTTATGAAGTTTTGACGGTTGGGCCCTCCCTTGGTCATGTGACTGTAGGTTAGCTCTTTGGCAGCCAGTCTGCATTTACAGCTGTTTGCAATGTTCTGCAGTCACGTGATCATATTTTATGATATTTTTTTCCAAATACCAGCATTTATTTCTGTTTTTTGGCGAAACTGGCCAATATATAATATTTAATTCTGAATGAAAAAGCCAAGTAATCATAATGCTTGTAACATTATTTCCTAAACTATAATTAATATTGATAGAATATCTATCAACCCTTGTTTTGTTCTGTTTTTATCTGTTTTTAATCTGTGGATGGATGGACGGACGGACGGACGGATGGACAGACGGACGGGCGGGCGGGCGGGCATGCAGGCGGGCAGGCAGGTAGGCAGGCAGGCTCCAATTACTCTTGTGGGGCCTATGTTCTAACATGGCCTCTATAAAATGCAACATCTTAAAAGTTTCACTATTCTCTATTCAGAGAGGCACTGAAACCTTGCCTTCAGATTAGCGCATTAAAATCAAGTGGATATATAAATAACAAGCCTGCACAATGCCATGATACAACTATCACAACATTTGGGACAAGACTTGGTTAGAAACAGTAGAGCAACCTTCAGCTTAACCAATATTTTTACATAATAAGTTTTTATTGGTTTTCCAGTTTTACATTTAAGTATTTAGAAAGCAGCGTGGTGATTCGGTAGTCAATAGTACAATAACAAAATATTTACTACATGTCTCAGGTTACATCATCAAAAAATTCCTTCTCTATTTCCCTTAACATTTGCTATATCATATTTAAGCTAGTAAATTTGTAATTATAACAAGCTCAGTTAAAACATTTATCAGTTAAAACATTTATGCTTATACATATCCATGTCCTGTATTTAAATTTTACCTAATTTTTAATTACAATATTCCAATTTAACCTTTAATATCCATAGTATTTAAATTTTGGGTAACCCAAATTTCCTTTATTTCACTACATAAAAATTATAATATCTAAAATACACCTATTACTTACTTAAATATATTCTTATTTTATTTCATAGACATTTTCTATTTCTCATCCTAGTACATCACCACTTACTAATGGAGTATCCTTTATTGTCTCAAATCCATCGTCTATGTTATCTGGGCTAAACAATAATTCAAAGCTATTTCCTAATAGTTAATTTTCATTTCCCTTATACATCTAAATCCTCAATATTAGGCCAATTAATCCCTTATTTTTTATCATTTTCCAACAATAGCTAAATCGAATAAACATATTTCCTTTCATCTCAAAATCTCCCTTTAGCCCATTAGTTGAGACTTTAGGATCAATAAATCAAAAGACCCCATTTTTTAAATCTAACTCTAGCTTTCTTTTTATGCCAACCAGGCTTCCATACCAATGATCATCAGATAGATCTCCCTTCATTCTTGCACATGTTAGTTGAATCAAAGGAGACCATCTAGTTATCAATTTTCCAGAGGAATTGGCCCATTTATGGTTGTTACGTTGTCACCCTGGTGGCCCAGATCCCCATAGTTGCTCTAGCATATTTGTCTTCAATTCAATCTGGTCTTCTTCCTCAGGTTTCTTCTGGTGTAAGTAGAAAGTCATATCCAATTTTATAGTAGTTGTTTGGTTGTCTAGGTTTTCAGTAGCCTGTACTTGTTGATCTTTAGCACTCTCGATCTTGGTATTACTTTCTTCCGCTTCTGTTGTTTTTTGGGTTGTAGATTCTTTATTTGCAATCAGGGTTTGGTTGTCTAGATTTTCAGTACATTGGACTTGTTGTTCCTTAAAGTCCTCTGTCTTAGTATTAATGTCTTCCGCTTCTATTGTTTTTTGAATTGTAAGCTCTTTGGTTGCAATAAGGGTTTCGCTTTGTAGGTTTAAGCTGGTGCCTTTGTCTTTCAGTCTAGCTTTAATTATCTCAGTGGCTTCAAGAATTTTTTTAAGTATAAGTTTGTAATTAGCCGAAATTTGTTGCTGGTCCTCCTCCATTTCTGATATGGCTATAAATGGTCTTTTAGTGAAGGCTATTTATTAAGCAAGAGTCAGTGAGTATTCACCTCCACAGTCCTAGAAAGCAATTTCACCATCCAGCTGTTCTCTCAGCTTTTAATCTCTTTTAGATAATACCAAGGACAGATCTGGGCTATGAGCAGTCTTTTTTTCAAGAATATTCACTTGCTGTACCACGTTTCGCCACAAGATGTCCTCCCAAGCTAGGTTTTTGTCCAATGTAAGTTCTTTTTCATCTTTTTTACGAGTAGATAGAGTAGCAAATCCCCATGAAAATAGGAACTTTTTGGGTCCCTGAATATCAAATAGATGCAAATCCAATTATTTAGCTGTTCTTTTCAGGCTTTATGTCCCGGAGGTAAACAAATGCCACCATTTTAGAGGGTGGGAGGAGAACGTTCCCTTCCCTCTCTCCTCACAGGGGGAAGCAATTAAGAAGCTTTTTACAGGAAGATACTTGGGGTACAAAGAAGGTAAGATCTCACCCAATTCCTCCGCAGTGCTTTCGAAGTGCTTGTTAGTAATTTTGGCGTCGGCTGGTAACGGCTTAGTGATGGGCCATATTAATGGCCGACCTTTTCCCCATCAGTTCAAAGAGTTGCCCGGGATCAAATGGGAGGGCTGCTGCCCTTCCGCGATTGCTCGGGAGTCCTCTTCACGCTCGTCGCCCCTCTAGGGCAACTTCCGACCCTTTTCAGGGTCCCCCAGCGGGAGAAAACCGGACGACGGAGGGAGCGATCGCCCCACACGTCCACCAGTGCCATGAACACAAACCGGAAGCCCGGAACAATATAGCTTTGACCAACTTTGAAAAGGATCTGGTGAACTGAAAGATGACTTATCGAGACAAGGCACATCAGAGAATTTGGAAGAACTGCTCTGATAGTATAAGTATTAAGTTGTTGGAAGAATTGAGGCACAGAGGAAATAGTAAGGCAGGGATAGTTTTCAAAGTCTTTCTTCGTCCCTATCCTGCTTCTAATGGCCTCCTCAGACACTGGTCCTCTGTTTCAACAGAGAAGAATCTCCATTTATGACTCTATATAAAGCCCCAAGATATTTAGCCAAGCCTTGCACTGCTGAAGTCCAAATTCTGAATCAGCTGGAAAGTGCTTCACTTATAGCACTGCAGGCCACATGACCACTTGTTTTTGAATTATTCTAAAATGTTAACTTTGGGAAATTTTGTGAGCTTTTCTCCACAATCTTAACAGTGGTTTTTCTAGACAAGAAGAGCTTTGGCAGCCAATAACAGTCAAATGCATTCTATTGTTCTGTTACTCTTTGTTCAACTTCAGATTTAGATTTAGAAATACCATTCTCTATTTTATAAACTTAAACTAGGCAATTTCATAGATGAGATACAGCAGTTGGAGTAGCCCCCCCCCCCCCCC